CCCCCGCTGCCCCCGTCGCCTCTCAAAATAACTCACCCCTCTGACCTGTTCTTTTTTCTTTTTAGAAAATCCCTGGGAAGTTCAAGAAACTTTTCTCTGAACTTGAAAGTTTAACGGTAAGTAGCTGACCAGAGGGGATTTATTCTTCAGATGAGTTGCTAGCGTCTAAGCTCCTTCTAGAGTTTAGCCATGGGTGCCTGCACGCCACCAGGGCAGGGAGCTTAGACGAGTTCACTTGTCTACGAAAATGTAGCTTCGTGTCTTAGGAAGGGAAGGGAAGCAAGTTTATAAATAATGCTGCTGGTTCTCCGTGGAAAACGGTAGCGAGAATGGTCCACTTAGTATGATTTTTTAGAAGGCAGATTTTTTTATTTTTAAATATGTCTTTACTGATTTCAGAGAGAGGAAAGGAGAGGGAGAGAGAGAGAGAGAGAAACATCAATGATGAGAAAGTCATTGATCAGCTGCCTCCTGCACGCCCCCAACTGGGGATCGAGCCCACAACCCGGGCATGTGCCCTGACCGGGAATCGAACCCTGATCACCTGGATCCTAGGTTGACGCTCAACTGCTGAGCCACGCCCGGCCGGGCTAGAAGGCAGATTTTTAAGTATAGCCCATTTCAAAGCCAGTGGAATGCATGGGTGTAAATGTAGTTTGCAGCCAGTGTCTTATGCATTACTCTTTTCTCCTCTTTGCCATTTCGTAGATTTAGGAACAAAAATGTACCGTTTCTTTTCAGAACACAATGCAACAGCGTTCTCTTGTTTTCTCTGCAGTCGTCTGTGAATCCTGAGGGCAGTTTTTCTTTGCAGTGTAACTGACAAAAGACACTGACAGAAATAATGCAGAGGAAACTGTGCTTAAGGAACCGATTGGAGGAAAATAGTAGGGCCATCAAAAGGTGTCTTTTGCAGCCAGTTCCCATTACTGTAAACTAATAACTTGGCTTTCATTCATTGCCTAGATTTCCTGCCCTAATTTAGTGAGTTTATTTTCCTAGGAAACCTTTGTCTACTTCGTTCCCAGGGAGGACCTCTTAGTATCTAAATCATGTTCAGATTGCTTAGCAAAAGCGGGTTGAGAATTGTTTCTATAGCGCATTGATTTTTCTTTCTCTTTGTAATCTGCTTGGTTCGGCAGGATCCTTCCCTGAACCACAAAGCCTACAGAGATGCATTCAAAAAGATGAAGCCGCCCAAAATCCCTTTCATGCCCTTATTGCTTAAAGGTAACGATTTTTTTTTTCTTCTATGCCATGTAATTTCACCTTCCAGAAGTTAATCACTGTAACTATAGAGGACAGAAAAAAGAGCACTCAGTTTATTTCTTTAAAGTAATTTTGACACTCAGACCCTCACGGTGTTTGCTGGCGATCGTTTTCCAGATGCTCCGTTACTTCTGAGATACCCAAAATACTGAATTGTACTCGAACAGACATGAAAACATTTTCTCTTCACTCACAGAGTTTGTCACTGGAAACTTCTGTGTTTTCACTTTACTCTGCTTCTAAGCACTATTTGATTTTCTGTGAGTTTACAATCCACTTAATTCAACCAAGAATAGGCTGAGATGAAGACCCCCCCAGTGGTGATCGGTCGAGCGCTGTGTTGGCGACCTAGGTTTCGGAGCTGCAGCCCACAGCCCGCTGCTGGGTGAGGAACAGCTCTGGGCAAGGATGGGCTCCCTTCTTTCAAGGAGTGGGATCCGTTTGTGGCAGCTCCACATTAGTCCACTGACTTTTCCTCTGTGGAGCAGCAAATAATTTGTCGTGAAACATGTTAGTTAAATGTACTAATGAGATATCACCAGACTCTTTCAATTCCGGGGAATTCATGTAGGGGAATTTTGTTTTAATCTGGCCTATGCTCCTGACATTCTGCCTATGTCTTACCTGCGTGCTTTCCAGGGAAAGGGGGTTTGGTCATTTTTTAAATTATTTTTCCTTTTTATTGATTTTAGAGAGAGGAAGGGAGAGCCAGAGAGAGAGGGAGAGAAAAAAAACATTGATGTGAAAGAGAAGCATTGATTGGTTGCCTCCCGCACATGCCCCAACTGGGGATCGAACCTGCAACCTAAGTATGTGCTCTTAATGGAGCTCAAACCAGCCACCTTTTGGTGTCTAGGATGGTGTTCTAGCCAACTGAACCACACCCACCAAGGTGGATTTGGTCATTTTTCTTGGCCATATTTTGATTCCTTAAACAGATTTTATAGAAATACTCTTTTATATAGCCTCTGCTCTTCAGAGGCTGTAACCTCGGCTGGGCCGGCCCCATGACTGGGCCTGTGTCTGTGATTCTGGAAACGGGTTTCCCAGAACTGGGCTGCTGGTTGGCCTGGCCAAGCTCCTCCCCAGCCTTTCCCCTCACCCGCCCCACTGGCAGCAGAGCTGATATTCCCTCTCCGCTTCTCTCAAGAACAAGCACAGCCTGGAGAATTACCGAGTTGCTGTGCGCACTCGCAGCCACTCCTTTAGTCTTCATGTGGCATAAAGCGGGAATCTCTGCGAAACAATAAAAACAGTAATATACTAGGCCGGTCGAGAGGCGCGCGGATACTTCATCCAGCTGAAAAGATCCCGCTAATGTAAATGGATGAAATAAGGAGAGACTGTAATAGCAAAATAATTTAAAAGTTCATGTGATTCTACACATTTATTTCCTTTTAGGATAGGTTTATTCGGGCTTATGATTTTTATTTGCAAAATGAAACACCTTTAACGGGAGAGTGGGGGTGGCAGGTGGGAAGCAACACAGGGACTCTTAGACACATAGGAAAAACAGAATATGAGGTCAGATCTTAGAAAGGAGTTGACTTTAGAAATTAAGATTTTTGAAACAAATATGTTTAAGGTAATGAGAAATTAGCTGACAATGCCCCTTCAACTTAATTAGATACGAGCAAAGCTTTCTGCTGTATGTTAGTGATTTTCCCCAAAAAACACTTAATGCCGTCGAGCGTCTCACACCTCTTAGCTTGGATGCAATTTTCTGCTCTGCTGAGTTTATCGAGACACCTCGTTGGCAGCACAGCAAGTTTCCCTTTTTTTACTGAATACACATCACTCATCCGCACTAGTAAATTTAAACACCTTTTTCTTTTTTCATTAGAAGCTTTCTTGAGTTAAATAAGCACTTATTTTTCCTTTAACTTTTTGTCATGATAAAAATCAACATCATTAGCATTCTTTTGTATTTGAAGTTGCCATTTTGGTCTCAAATAATTTCCAAAGGAAAATAGGATGAAAAATAGAAATATGTATATATCACAGACACTTTGGGAAAAAGTGAACCACATTAATTCTTAGGGTTGTTTTTAACTGAAAACTTATTTTAAAAGTTGCAATAAACTACTTTAGAAGGGAAGGACCCAATTTTTTCATGAAACCCCCGCACCCCCATCCCACCCAACACACCTATGCTTCCTACTTTGGGTTCCCTTTAGTTAGAGTAAAGGGACCGAACTGAACTGGTTGGGTGTTAGGAAGGGTTAGGCCTCCCATGTTTGATATTTTGAGGTGGTCAGTGCCCAGTAAGCCTGAAGGTTGTCAAGTAGGCACGTAGCCTGAGGCTCCTGTCAGCCGCCAGCTTTCCTACCTCCCAGCTGAATTCCCCGCCCTCCGACATGCTTCCCCGGCGCTGCGGCGTGGAGTCCCTGCATCAGTGTTGAGGAAAGGCTGCAGCCGAGCTAAAGGTCCAGAGCAGCGGGGTACTCTCTGTATTACGCAGCGTTTTTGGAGATGGTGGTCCCTCCCCACAGAGCAAATACTCACCAGGTGTTTGAAGATACACTGGGGTCCTCGTGGGCTGGGCATGCGTCTTGGGTAGACATCATTATGCAGTTTTGTGGGGTATTTAAAGAAAGGGAGCGGCAGGGTGCTTGTACGTTTCCTCTTTGTCCTCCACTTGCCATCTCTTCAAATGGAGTCGTTTCGCCCCGCAGTTCTATTCTGTGAAGTGTTTGGGGCATGTTAGGTGTCTCCCCATAAAAGGGGCCTGGAGGCGCCCACTGCCCACACCCTGAGCTGCTTCACAGCCCGTAAGCTCTGGGATCCCAGCTTCTGAGCTCAACCGCGTGTTGGTTTCCCTCTCTCACGGCTTTCCCATCCCACACCTGCCGTTGAAATATGTCGAAACCCTCAGTCACCTGCACCCCCTTCTCACAGGTGGCAGCCCCTTCCAGCCTCTCTTCCCTGCCTCAGCCTCGCGCAGCGTTAGCCTGGCAGCCCCTCAAACAGCAGCCACCTTCCTCTGCTCACCTGGACAAGTCCCCGAGACTGAGGTTAATTAACTGAGGCCACCCGGGAAGGGGAGACTTACTGCTGCAGGGCGCCCCCCATGCCGTGAATTCAGCAAGTTCACTGTCACAGGCCGTAAGAAAGGTCAGGTCCTTTCAGCAGCTGAGGTACCAGAGAGACAGTGGTGAGAGGATCGGGCTCCCTGGGTTCGAATCCTGGCTGTGACATTTAGAGCTGTGACCATGGGGCATCTGCACACGTTCTGTGGACCAGTGTTTCTTCACATTTCTTCTGCTAGGGCTTCACCTTCAGTCTTTTGGGAGGATCCAGGGAGTTAATGCTGTGTCCTACGCAGTTAACAAATACAAGTTGTTATGTTCATCAGCCCTCATTGTCATCCTTGGGAACACAGGAAGGGGTTGGCAAACCTGGTAACACTGGGGACATGGACTCAAAGGACGTTTGTAATTCAAATTCTCAGGGAGTTCGGAGAGACCAGGCTTTTAGGTGGTGGTTCATGTAGATAAAGAGCACACACAGCGCTTTGTTTGCAATACAAAAAAGGTAAAAGTTACGCGTGTTGACTGCTTTCCTAAATGTTGTCACACAATGAAAACTTGCAGTTTTCTTCTGAAAGCAAAAATCATGAGAGGTAGTAAAATAACCAGAAATGTTGGCAAATGACTGTGTAACTGTGAATCGTTTTCCTGCTAGGACATCAGTTTTTTAAAAAAAGAAAGAAAGAAAAGCATAGGAAGCTTTGTAAGGGACGCCCTGAGGAAAGTGCATCGTGTCTGTGCAGCGATGTGGCTCCTGCCGCCCCCTGGCGGGCATCAAAGTGAGGTGGCCGGGCGTGCTGTGGGCGGGCTTACAGGGCACCTCGCCCTCATAGCCCCACTAGGAACCAGCAGGGTCAAAGTCTTGATTAAATGCAAATGCTACCTCTTCCTGTCTAAAGGAATTTTAAGCTGTTCTTTCCCACTTTTACATCAGGTTATTTTCATAGGTTTTTGAAAATTACCTACACTGGTTTGCCCTCCATATCCGTGATATAACCTGATTATTTTCATGCTCTACAAATTGTAGTATATTTCTTTGTTTCTTGTCTGTGAGGATTCCCTAGTGCTCAGTCATTGGCCCTCTAATCTGAGTTTTTACATCACCCATTCTCACAGCCTCAGCTGCTGTCTTTATTGTACCCAATTCCTAAATTCCCGTCTCTTGAGGAGGCAGGCACCCCTGTGTTTTGCGCAACCACAAGAACACTTGCATTTGAATATGTTCTGTCACTGTAAATGCAGTGAGGCCCAAACCAAATGTAACTTTCCCTTCCGCTGACAGTGTACCTGCATCCTACTTTCCTTAGATTATTTTCATCAGTGATGCTTTCTTCCTACTGGTCGAATAGGGCCAGGAACCTTGCCTTTTCCAGACCTGTCTCTTTCCTTACCCACTTCTCATACACAATCGGGCACTGACTTTGAGAGCTAAAAATCTAAATGTAGACATCTAAATCTAAATCTGAACGTTTTGAATAAAGCAAGTTCCCTACACTTTGCCACAAATTGTGTGTTTTTTTAAAAAACAACAACAACATAACATAAAATCCTATTATTTCTGGAGATTCAGTTGTTTTCTGCTCAATGTTCTGGCCTAAAAACATAATGGAGCAGTCAGGGTACAGATAGAATAGTCTTAATTTATATGAAGCCGGGTGAAGTCAAACACTTCATTGTAAGTGCTAAATATATGCTTGCATTAATGTTATAATGTTTTCCCCACACACATAAATTATACCCTTTCACATTGAACAGTGTGCAGATTCAATTTCAAGTTGCCTTGTCAGATGCGCAGGACAATCCATAATGTTTAAGAAAAATTAATAAGTTACATTGCATCTAGACCTCTTCAGCCCTGATTCATGACTCCATTCCTAATGGTACATGTGTCTTTTTGCTTTTAATTTCCAGATGTAACATTTATTCATGAGGGAAATAAAACATTTTTGGATAATCTTGTCAACTTTGAAAAGCTGGTAAGTAAATTTCGTTATTCTTTTTCAAATGTTCACATTTCTTTCTGATGCTAAAAAAACCGATGAATGAAGCCCCTTTCCTCACTGAATGCATGATAATTTCTGGGAGCTTATTTTACTGCATGTTGTGCATTGTCAGTAACATGTATTGCAATTAAAAATACGTGAGCCAGCAAGGTTTTGAGAACCAAGTATAAAAATCTGCTTTTTATTGTTAAAGAGGAAACTTCGTTAGATTAACATCAGCAATGAGTGTATGTTATTGGACCAAAAATAAAACCGTGAGGGCCCTGTCGGGGGAATTCACACTCATGTGCTTAAGCCGTTAAGCGTTACAGCTGTGAGGGCATCTCTCTGATGCTTCCCGGGCACAGGAGACTCTCTCCTTCTGGGAAGGTGTGTCCACCCCCCAGTGCTCCCAGCTTGGATGTGAAGGTGGAATTTGTAGGGTCTGTGCACGAGGGGAAGGACCACCCTTTTATGAGCCTGTGGACTGAGGGGGCCACGGTAGAGAGCAGCTCTGACACAGTGCCCTCCCTGCTCACAAGAAAGGGGTCCCCAGTCAGTCCTTTCTTACAAGGACTCTTCCTGAACTATTTCCAGGACATTCCAGGGCTTTGTCGTGCACAGCTCCTCCTGGCCTTTGTGACCAGCCCACTCCCAGGGCGGAGGAGGAGTTGCCTGTAAGAACGGAGCAGATATAAAACAGGAGTGGTCCAGAGAACCCCGTGGGTGAGGGGAAGAATGGATTTGTCTGACAGATGAACTTTAGTCATGGATTAGATTGTCCTTCATGGTTCATAATGATGCCAGTGACCCCTGTCCATGGGTCCTGACCTTTTCAGTAATGCTAATGGATTTGTGTGAACTCTTGCAGGAACTGGCCCCAGTTCCCTCTGAGAGGTGTGTTGGGGGTTGGGGGGGGAGGTGGGGGCCGCAGACCAGGCCCCAAAACAACAGTGCAAACTGACAAGTCCACATGAGGTTTGGCGCCTGACCTTTGCCTCCCGAGCTCCCTGCTCTAATCATCGGGTTAACGCGCCACGCGTAGGGTGACGAGGCACAGGACCGCCGTACAACTCGAGAGCCACGCACCCAGGACCTGAAGACAGACGTCTCCGGCTGTCTTGCCACAGGCCCATTTTAATCCCTGAGGACAGTCCCTTTATGACTAGTCATTTCTAAAGTGAATACACCTGTAACTTTTCAAGTCTCTCTGCGAACCAAGTGCCTTGGAATCAGAGCTCATTTATTTAGATGCTACAGTCAAACCGGCACAGCTGGAAATGGATATTTAAAGTGTTGGGTTTCGGTACTTACTCTTTGGAGATGTGTTCTCTGTCGCTGTGTACTGTTCTGAAGGTCACGGGGCACCTATTTGCAACTAAAGGCTGTGGGCACTAACATTCTGGTTTCCAGGCAGATTTCTCTCTGGTGTTTGGTATTAATGAAATGATCACAGGAACATAAAGCCTTTGGTGGATATTTACTCCAAATCCTGGCCGATGCACCTGGCTGAGATCGCCAGATAAGCTTTGGAGAGCGTGTGTGGCAACGATGTGGGATGAGGTCTGTCACGCCAAGCCTAGCAACTCTCCTTCTGTCTAACCAGGGGATACGGGAAAACGATTGTACTCTATACGCTGACTCCTACCCATTGTCAAGGGCAGGCTGGCGGTTGACCTTCTACCTAAAGTAAACCTGTGATTTGGTTAAGTTCACTGTGTCGTTTCCCTTTGGATAAGTGCCACCAGAGTGAGGGAGCAATTGAACAATGGCACAGATGGGAAAGAGCGATGGGAGGGTCCCCTGCACCCTTCTCTCTGCTTCTGACCAGCATCTCTGGTCCTCCCCTGCTTTATCCACAGTCCAGGGGAAGGCTGTCGATGCCAGCTGAAGTCTTGCTTTCATAGGCGCCGAGGCTTCAAAATAACCATTGGGACTAAAACCAAGAAAGTCTAGCTTATACTACTTCTGCTAGGGTCAATGGTACCCTTAATTTCTTTAGAAGGTTTTAGGAAACAGCATGGCATATATAAGTAATACTCTATTATTAATGTTAAATTCCTGAAATTTTATTAAAAACACAGAAGCTAAGTGCAGCTACATAAAGCCCTAGGACACACAGTGGGTTCCCGGTCCTCAAAGTTGATGGCATATCAGACACAGCACAGCTCCTGTTGACTCCCTCCTTGCACAGCAAAGATAGGGTGACATTAGGATTTTCTAGGACAACAAACCTCTATTTTATCTTGTACACACCCCGTGTTATACTCGGATGCCGGGCAAGGACACCGAATTCCCTAGCAGAGGCAGAATTTTCAAGGAATATTTCTCAGCAAAGGATAGGGTTTCACTTAAGCTAAAACAGGATCATCTTTCACAGTAATGAACCAGTGGAACGTAACTGAATTAACTTGTGAGGGGCCAGTTCCTCATGATGGATATTAGCTTGAGCCAGCAAGCAGATAATTCAGTGTATTATCTTTATCTGGCTGATCCAGGCCAACGCATTAAACCAGATGACACGAAGACCCAGGAGCGCTCACTGGGCCTAATAAGATTCCCATTGTCCCCTGTGAGGCCTCCGCGACTCTACACATTTCAGTCCCAAACTGAAATAATGAAGAAACCAGTGCTCTCCCCTCTTCTCCTCTCGGTCCCTCGATGCGAAGAGCGTCTTTTACCACACTGTCCTCTCTCCCCTTCGGGAAACCTAACAATGAGGATCAGGGCTCAGGTTTCCATGTTGCACTCAGGACTGAGCCTGCACGAGCTACACAAATGGCACACGATAGAAATCGGTGTGACGCCATCCGTGGCTTAAAACCACCAGGGACTGTCCTGGGAACAACGGCGAACTGGGGGGAGGAAATTTAACAATACGCCCGCAGACATGAGTCAGGCCTCGTTTCCTTACAAAGGCCACTGTAGCTACTGCTCTAATCACTGTCCTATTTAATTCTCCGCTGTCGAGGAGGGATACATCTGTGAGAACAATTTCATACGTGGGTCCTAGTCAGACACAGTTTCTGTCGTTCCTCTGGATTTTAAGTTACAAGAAATTAGAATGAACTTTATGTCAGCAGTAATCCATTGAGGGTTTGCTGTTTATGGCCAGACCGGTGCTCAGTGTATACACACAGGCGTGGAAGGCGATGACCCAGGTGGGTTAGGTTTGAGGCACCAGGTAATGAACAGTGTAGATCCTTGACTAACGGGATGATGCCTGGATTTTGGCATGAGATTAGGGAGGCACTGCAGGTTTTCCAGAGGACTAGAGCATGATGACAGACTGTTTGGAGATTATTCTGGAACCTGATGGGAGAAACTGTAGTGGAGAAGGGTCTGGCCGTAAATGCTGTATGTCCTTCGTCATGGAAAACTGGAAATGACAGCACTTAGAAGACTGACAGGTGCACACATAGGAGGTGACGGGACCTTGTCAGAAGCAGCTCCAAGTTTAAGGAGACTTTTGCCTGGAGATCGGTGAGAACTTTAAAGAAAGAAATTGAAGTAGAATGCTGAAGAGTGTAGGAGGGAATATAAATTATGAGTAGAAAGCAATCTTTGTGAAGATATTGGTGTTTTAGAAAATGTTTGTCTTTCATGAATCTCTTACCTCCTGTCACCATTTGAGACACTGGAACCTTTGATTCCACAACAAATTCCTCCCTCCATTCAGCAGGGGAGTGTGAGTCGGCGTGTATGACACATGGTAGCAGGGAAAGATCCACAACAAATACAACACAAAGCCAATAGACAGCGTACAAAGAACAGTGAGAAGGTTGAGAATGACACCCCCCAAGTTCAGTAAGGGCCTCATGGGGAAAAGGCAGACACCCCCTGAAGTTAACAGCCTTCGCAAATTAGGACAGGCGGGCGGGGGTGTGGGAGCTGCATTTCTTACCGTGTGTTTTCCCGTGGCTCAGTTAGAATTGTGCAGCTGGGTTTGGGAGCCACTGTTTCTATAGACAGGACTCAACATTCCTCTGTAACCCAAGCTCAACATTATCCATTAAAGTCCAGCTCCAAATTACACCCAAGGGTGTAAATATCCTCTGATCCTGGCGGCAGGCATGCTAGGTACATCAGCAGTACCCTCAGCGACCTTCCCACTGATACGTTCCCTCTCTGCCTTCCAGCACATGATTGCAGACACCGTCCGAACCCTGAGACACTGCAGGACCAACCAGTTTGGTGAGTAATTGCAGTCGGTGTACAATGTAAATTCACCAGCCAGTGGTATAGGCGCTGGCCCCGTCACAAGTATTTGGTGGTAATAAATACAAACAGATTGTAAAGTGTAATGTGCATATTGTACGCTTATGCTGAATTCTCTCTCTGTCTCATCACTGCATGTTTGGGGTGCAGAGAAAGACAAGATGCGTCAGAAAGTTTGTACTGTACAGAGTGACTCTGGACCGTCAGAAGCTCCCCCCC